CAAAATATGTCGGAATTGATTTGAACCAAATTTCAACGCCAAATGTCGGAAAAATTGTGGTTCAGAGTAGTGTATATCTCTTGTTGTTCGTGTACTTGGGATAATTTTCATATGAGTATATACCTTTTCTTCGTATTGGGTGATAGAGCTCGGCTGATCACTGTTCGGCCGATCACTGAGAGCCGACGTTATATTCAAAAAATATACCGATACATCAGTCGAATCAAAAGTCGGAATAGGCTCTTCTGACAGGGCCATTGGATTTAAGAGAGAGGGGGGTTACCTCGACAACCCTTCTACCGAGCCTTACCACTTCACGCAATACTGACACTGAACATCTTTGTATGTACTGTACTTATTCATCACTGTCCATGTATATGCATATTGGTTCTACTCCATCTTTGGCCATTGCAAAGATGATATCGTCCGTCGCCTCACTGTCGCTTAGGGTCAATTGCACTAGAGCTATCGATTCTTCGATCTCCGCCGACATTGCTCGTTCCATGGCAGCAGCATCCTGCGCGGCCAGCTTCTCCTTGCAAGCGCACTACTCCGTATGTTTTGCGTTAGTTGTCCTTTTCGGGCAATTTTTCTATTCCATGTGGGGCAACTTGTTGGCATTGTCACCAAACAGCTGCATAGTCTCCACAGGAGGCCTGTAGCAATTGGAAGGTCCGGTCCAAACTCTTCTTGAAGTACTCGTCAAATGCTTGGCCGCCGTTTGCAAGAGCTGATCAATAGGCCTGGCTGACGGCAATGAAGCGAAGGTCCAAGATGTTGGTGTCCAGGGAGTTTGGCAGCTGCGGAACGAGCGAGAAGGTCCAACCATGGTTGCCGTATTAGTCGAAGACGGCCTTGAGTTGCGCGTACATGGGGGTGACGTTGGCCCGGGCATTGTTGTGCTGCGCACAACCCTCATGTCGGCGTTTGGCCATTTTGCCGCAATCGAAGGTAGGACTGTCTCGAGAAGGAAGGTACGACATACGTCCTTTGTAACAGCCATTGAAGCCCTTGACTTGGTGTCGTAGATACCAGCGGCGGTTGACGCTGGCGCGTTGAACGGCCACGTGCCTATCTTGCCGTCCCACCATGTGCTGGTTTCGTCGATGTATCTTGGGCGAACAACAGCGCTGAGGAACATAGCCCTTGAAATGTACCATTTGCTCTTACATGTTCATGATGGTTCGTGCTCCCCAAGAAGGTGGAAGTACTAACCAGTGGACTTTGTAAGATAAAACCATTCTCGTCCAGATGCACGTAGTGTAGCATGTCCGATAGATGCATATCAACCTTGACCATTGCCATGGCAAACTTTAGGCGACAGTACCTGTTAGCGTCCGTTAACACTGAAAGCATCGCATTGGAATGGGCACGGAACAAGGCAAGTTTCAAGTATCAGTGCAATGAGCCACGACTTATTCCCATTAAATGCTTAGATAAAGCGCAAATTTTGCCATACAATTGTTTTCAGAGATTGAACGAAGCGTTGTTCGTTGTGCAAGTGGCACCTCCAACTGCTTGGCCTTGACTTGTTCGGCAGTGTAAACCATTTTTCTTCCTACTTTGCCTTTCGTTTTGTTTGCTACAGACAATTTCATTCTACCATGAGAGGCACCTTGGGTCTTGGCCAAAGCAATGATTCGGCGTACTGTAGACAAGTGGCACTGGTACTTTGTTGCCAGCAATTGATTAGTGTCCTTAGGCAGCCGGGTGGGAAGCCGTTGTTGCTTTGGAGCACGACTTCCCGAAGGATTGCTTCGCTCTCGTGGTTCAGGTCGGGCCATTGTTGATTTGAATGTGTGTCATTTCTGATGTACGTTTTATACGGAAGTTTGTATGCTGACTTTGGCTCGGCAACAATGGCTCGCGTTTTTGCGATTCGTGCTCATTCTTACACATATAGAAAGGCGCGCTCTGTCCAATGATCCAAGCAGAGGTGTCGATTTCCGAATTGTGGAGGCATTCGCACAGCCTGAATTTGTCTTTGAAATTCAATTGTCAGTCTTGTACTCCTCAAACTCGCGCAATATTTGTGGGAGAGAGGGAGTATAAATTTCGCGCACTGTATTTGTACATTATGGTTTGACAGTATGTCTCGAAAACGAATTTCACTCCTGGTAAAACGTCTATCAGAATATGGATAATGTTACAGTCCGACGTGAGGAAGGAATATTTTACGGAACAAACACTCCGCATACACTGAGTTTATCCAACATGACTGCGTTGTCCGAAAATGCTTGGTTTCCCCCAACGACGGCAGTTATGCGACCTTTCGTAAAATCACTACACTGTGGTACTGCCCAGTAACACTAAAGATGGAGAGCATGGTTGATCAAGAACCAGAGGATGACAAGACTCAACGATCTCTATTCATTCGAGTACGGAATTTGACGCCGTCCAAGAGCATGAGGTCACCGTCCCGCAACTTCATGGACAGATGGACCAATAAGCCACAATCGCCAACTGCAGCGCCGAGTGCCTCCATCAAAAGCAGCAACTCGATGATCAGTCAATTCTTCGACAAAGAAATTGCCGCGCCTGAGCCAATACCGTCGTTTGAGAATGTGGAAGAGTCTGTAAACTTGCGTGTGTTTCAGGCCGTGTCCTCTTGGCTCAAAAACAACGATGTGCTATCACCACCTTTGGCACTACCCCCACCTACAAATCAGTCACGCGTGAGCCTACACCAAGTGTACGACACTCTGTTCAACTCCATGGACGAGCAAGACAACCAAATCACAAACGAACTGCTTGAGCTCACTGGCTGCTTACCACCTCCTGGACACATCGAGGTACGACGCGCCTTCACGTGGTAATGCAAACTCAACCCAATCAGGACACACTGCCCTGTCAACAACGCAAACACAACGACGATTCAAACTGCTTGTTTGACGCCGTTGTCGTCGTGGGACCAGATCTCACAGATATCTTGATTAGCCATGAGTTGGACTCCGTTTTCGAACCGACAGTATGCCACACGTATCCGTCGGACGTCGTCTTCGAAAGCTTTCAGCACTTTTGCTTCCCAAGTGGAGTCCGCTTGGTGTCGGACGATGGCCGCCGCCCCAGCACCAACAGCTCCGTGACAGACTCGGAAACTGAGGCCGGTGGAGATGACGACAACGATGACGACAGGTAAAGCACAAACGTCGGGCTTGGCAACATCAAGCTAATTACGTACGTGCCACCAGCAAACTCGACGACCTCTTTTTCGTATTTGTGCTGTCTGGTGGTGGCAAAGAAGGTCAGGACGTGCAGTACGCGCTGTGCCGGCAAACTTGGGTCCGAGTGCCCAACCACGTGTTGTTGCAGCCGCACGGAGCGGTGTACGCCCCCTTGACGTATTGCATCCTCGTCAAGACGCCATACATACCATTTTTTCGAGCTATCCTGCACTATCTCATGGGTACGATGCTTGCCGACAAAAACGAGATCCCAACGAATTCGTTCTAACTGTTTCAGACAAGCACGTGTCCGAGCTGGACGAAAACCCTGGTTTGTGGTCGGACTTGAGCACTTTCATGACTCCAATGGTACCCCACTGTCTGCATTCGCTGTGCCTGGTGCATGTCACATTGTACGACATAGCATCAAACGTGGCTCAACTCAAAGCTGCAAGGATTGTCTGGTTTGGATTTGCTCTCGAGCAGCACGTCCGTTCAGAGTGTGTTCGGCGAAGCCGATCCGTTGCTGTTGTTGCGATTGGACATCCCGCGCCGACGTCCCAGCTTGACCAGCGCTGCTGTTGACGACACGTCGTACCTCCTGCTTGAGTGGTCGCTTCCCATTCTCCTGACGTCGATGACGGTGGATACGTTGCTACAAGCGACCGCGATGTTGTTGACTGAAGCAAAAGTTCTTGTCGTGTGCAGCGACGTCGAGCTCCTGACAGCAACGGTGCTTGGGCTCGTGTCCCTGCTCTCCCCGCTGGTGTGGACTGGCCCTCTTATTGCTGTGCTACCGTCATCACTTTTCGAGTATCTCGAGGTACATTGCATCGCGGGGTGCGCACTTCACTCATCAACTTGTATCGTTACAGGCTCCTGTTCCGTTCGTAATTGGCATTCACACCCTTCCCATTGGATTCAGCGCACCACTCGACACGTTTCAACTGTTTCCGCAGTCGAATCGAGTGGTGGCGAACGTTTTGCCCCTCCCAGACTCGGACGCACTCAAAGCCGACTTGCTAGCAATATCCCTGCGTCGGGATGCATCGTACATTCGCCAAATCATCGACCGATTCCGAGGGTATATGCAGACAGTGCTGCGAAAATGCCACGAGCGCACCCAACCCCATGCGTTTTACGACGGCGTGAAAGCGACACAGCTGTACAGCTCGTACCAGCAGCGCACGGCCGATGCCAAGCTGTCGCGGGACGGAGGTCACCGCCGCTTGAAATTAGAGCCCCAAGCGCCTGTGATTCCTCGCAGAAGTATGCCTACCATCTCAAGCCAAGGCGACGGTCCTTGCTCGAATCATTTCTTGATCCGCAGTCTGTTTCACGTTGCATGCCACGGCGACACATGTGACGCAAACGAGCAGTCGGCCCCTCAAGATACAACTGGACTGCCGGCGTTGGCGAAACTTCGTTCAATGTGCACCACTGTCGACAACAACACGATGCACCTTCCATCCCCTCTACCACAGCAACTAGCGACGCCACGAAAACAATCCAAACCACTGACCAAGCCAGCTTCTCCAAAACGCAAGATTTTGGCCCCATCTCCTGCTCGAGTCAAGCCAGAAACGATTACGTTGGTCCTCCGAAAGGAGACCTCGGCCGTGTCCGTTGTGAAGCAGATTCCAAACGTGGAGGCAGATGCGCTGGCGAAAGAAGCACCTCCGCTCTGCTCATCGGCCACACCTCCCCTCCAAGCAACACACACCCAGCTCCTCCCAGCTAAGGCGGTCCGCATCGCCGAGCCGGAACCAAAGCTATCTACAGATGACCTCCGATTGACCAGCTCGCCTCCACCGTCCACTAACTCTATGGATGAAGAGATTGACGCAAACAGCCAACCGGAAACGAAGCGTGCACTGTCAGCATCGAAGATTCAGCGCTTGTACAGGCATTGGAGCTTCAAACTACATCATCCAACGTACAAACGGTGCAACTCGACTCCCATCGCGCATGGGGACGCTATTTCTTCGAGTCAACATCTTTCAAGGGTGAACCAAGCAAAGTCGATGTTCTTGGCCGGAGTTGTCGTGTCCAAGGTGTGTAAAATCGTATTCATCGCGTTCAATGTTGTATAACTAAATGATTAGCTCGGTCGGCATGGCACGTGGGGACGGCGCCGCCTTCGCTGTGACACGAGCATCGATCACTTGATGTGGGAAAAAGTTACCGGCAAGCATCGAGTCAGCGGTGACGCGATGGTGGCCATTCGCGACATCACTCTCGTCGAGGCCGGTGTGAATGGCGACCAGAAACCCACGATGGTGGGCAGCTTCCTCTTTTCGAATGACGCGGACGAGAGTGCACTATGTTTGACGGTACATACGTCCGATGTCCGCCGCCGCACTGTCGCCTTTAAATTCAACTCGACGGGAGACCGAGATCGTGTGATGCAGGAACTGCAGCAAGTGGTAGATTATGTCGTTGCATCGACGCCTGCCCTGTCGTCGCGTACCATCGGCGCAGCCGAAGGGGACATTCTCATGATGCGAAAATTCCAAGACGAACTCCGCGCAGGCATTTGCATCCGAAAGGTACGAATCATGATGGATTTCCTACGAGCTGCGTGCTGGTGTTACGTCGTGTGATGTGCCCTATAGCATGGCCGTCAAGGAAAGCCTCGCGCAAAGCATTTGTCGTGCGACCCGTTGTGCACTCAGCTAGAGTGGCGAGATCCCCCCACCGGCGGTCGGGGGTGGCTGAAGCGCACGTCGTCAAATCAAGGGATCGGCGACAAAAAGAACGTGATAGCGCTGGCCTCCATTCTCGAAATTTCCCCAACTGAATCGACCAGCCCCCTCCGGAGCTTTATTGGATCTCCCCAACACCATCGGATTTCCATTGTGAGCTCAGTTCGAACCCTCACGATCAGCACCGAGGCGAGCCAAGATCACTTGCGCGTGTATCACGGCCTCCAGTTGCTCCTGCGCCATTCTCGTGCCGTTGAATCAACTAGTTGACTCAAACCATTGATGATGTGGGCAAAGTATCGCATGACGATTCTAATGCGGAGCATCACTACAATGGCTCTCTCCAGTGTCAGTAAATCAGCTTCATTAGAGTCGTGCACATACCTCCGCCGCCAAGATCCCTCTTCTCCTGGCCTCACGAAGCCGCCCGTCCAGTAGCAATACTCTGAGGAACGAGGTAGAGCTTGGGCCACTGCAGGCTATTGAACGAGACCTCGTGTACAAACTAGATGTTTAGTACCAACTGTCGTGAATTTGACCAACGGCTACCTCAGTGCACAAAGCAAGACATTCGATCAATGTCTCACCCGCACGAGAATGTGATGCTTTCCCGTGGCTCTGCGATGTTTATGGCAAGCAGAAACTTGTTCTCCTTCCACTCCGTCAACCGACCGGCTTGAGGACCCGACACCACCCCAGGAGCATGACGCAGTGTCAAACTTCATGATTTTGGTCAGACAGGGAAAAATGAAAACGTGTCGATACGATGGAAATTTGACGGAGACCAATCCAGTGGACTGCTCCAACAATTGCGCGGCTTGACCTTCGCCGATGCAAGGTCACCAGCCCAAGCAATGCACCAAGACACACATCGACCGCCTCCCTCCGCAAGACGGCCGGTGGTTCATTCTCTGCGGTGGCTCGCACATCGCTCCCGACTACGTGATGTCTGCGGTCCACTGCGTCACCAACGGCAAGCTTGACTACGTTTGTCGGCACTTACTTCAAACGTTGCACGTCGGATGGCGAGTAGATCGTGTCAGCCGCCGCCGCACCTGTGCGCTGGGGGTGTCGTGCTTTTGGAGACTCGAGAGTACCGTTGGTTCGCGCCACGTCTGCTGGTTCGCATTAATGCGCGATATGGGCTTTGTCGAGTCATGTGTCAAGGGATTCCGGGACATGTACGGTTGCGTGGGGAGTTGACGTCGTTCATCGATCACAACGCCAGTGCTGCCAGTGAACCTTTGTCACTGGTTTTGCCCACAAGTGCATTTGGTAGTGTAGGACCGCTGAGGAACAATCTGCGTGTCTGTGATATCTGCCGAGTAACCAAACCATTCATGGTGGCAACCTAGCAACAATAGCAGAATGCGACGTCTACGACTCGACTTACATCTTGTAAAATTTTTGAACCACGGTCACTTCAAGGAGTGCTATCTTGTCAATGTCGCGAGAGTAAACTCTTGGCATCAGGGAGGACTTCTGGCTTTCTATTGTCCAGCTAGATGCACAAACACGGCGCAAGCAGCGATTGACATCGATACAAGACCCACAGCACCACTGCACTCTATACACTGACACGTGAAGGTGGCCATGTGGCCGTGGATTCCACAAGCCGTGTTGAGAACAACGACGTTGGCAAGGGTGCTCAACGTGAAGCCAACGAGGTTTTTTCGAGCAGTAGTTGATGCCAAAGTCAGTTGCTTGCGGCATTTGCATGCCGTGGGTGCGCTGTTGTGTGCTCCATTTGTCCATTCGTCGGGTCGTTTGCATGGCGGGGTTTACGTTATCCGGATGGATGGGGTATCCGGAAATTCCATGTCGTGGCTTTTGGGCATGAAGCGCGGAACAAGCGAGGAGGCCGACGGCGCTGCCGCCCCCGACGGATGGGTCGTGCGAATGTCTGCATCTAAGAAGAAACCGTACTACTTGCATGTAGCAACAAACAAGACACAGTGGCATCACCCGAACGAGGACAAGGCAGCAAAGAAGAAGGCTCGAGGTGATGGCAGCGCTGTGGACCATGCGCTCAACATGGCCGTCAGGCGCGCGTTTCGCGTGGGTGGTACGAATGTATCGACCAAGACAGCGCCATTGTTGCTTTTCCAGCCATGGCCTCATCAAGTTCGTGCTGTCGCCAAGGTGGTTGCGGCCATCGCGGAGGACACTGCATCGTCGACGTCCGACGCTTTCACCGACTTTCTCATTCAACACAGCACGGGATCAGGCAAGTCATACACGATTGCGTGCTTGGTATGATAGTGCACGAGTCTCCATGGATAGCCAGCTCACGAATGTTGCAGGCGCACCAGCTTCTGTACGCCAAGGACAAGGCAGGTGGCGGGTTTCACACCGTCATCATCTTGGTCGACCGCATCAAACTGGACCAGCAGCTGGGCGACACGGTCGAGTCGTTTTTGCACCGAAATGGTGTAGAATCCGTGTTCCGGGCAGAAACGATCGAGCACTTGAGCACGGTCGTCGGGATGGCCAACGTCGACCAAAAGGTCCTTGTGACAACAACGCACAAGTTGTCGCTACTCGTCCAGGACAAAGTGCTTCTTGCGCGGTTGCTCGCCAATTCATCCAAGATGTCTGGTGCTGCCACATCGCTCGTACACGTGGCCATCATAGCCGACGAAGTCCATCGATCGCACACGGCGTCGACGCGTGACGCGGTCTCGACCATTCTCGACGCTCTTCGCCACAAGACATACGTACGGCACGCCAGATGCTCTATTCTGTGATGGGCTTCCATGAACCGTTGGTTTGTGTGTCTAGTACATTGGGTTCTCTGCGACACCCAGTCACCACACACTTCGGCTCTTTGGCCGCCCCGATCGCACGGCAACGCTGCGGCCATTCGACTGCCATTCCATCGCTCAAGCCGTCGAAGCCGGGCAAATTGTCAACGTGCTCGAGCACTTTACCAGTTTGTCGTGCACGTACACGATCGACAAACCAACGGACTGCCAAGATCACGAAGTCGACTCGTGGCTTGCAATGGAGCTCGCCTCGTCGTGCGATGCGATGCTTCAATCAAAAGCACACTCGATGATGCATCACTTTGTCTACACGTGCAAAGCCAAGCACGTTTTTGCCAAGGTACTGGTCCAACGTCGGCATCGTTCCAAATTTGATGGGCATCAGTGCCTTGTGGTAGCGCGGAATCGCAAACACGTCGTGGCCTACCACCGCCTCCTCTCGGGCTACATGAAATCCCAGTACGTCCACCTTGCGTCGTTGGGTGTTGGGGTGTGCACTCATTTTCCCGGGAGGAACCTTCCCGGTCGAGTGTTCTGCACCTTTAGTCCGTACGATAACGTGCACGAAAACCAGTTCAACACGTGCACGCTGTCTCAAGCCGACGTGATTGTCGTGTGTGATAAACTCGACACTGGATATAACGAACCCGCGCTCGTTGCCATGTACATCGATCGGCCACTGGTCGCGCACGGGCGGATCGTCCAGCTCCTGTCCCGGTTGAATCGGTGCCGCGACGGCAAGTCTGGCGTGTTTGTCCTCGATTACGCCAACCATCCAGCCCAAGTACGCACTCTCTATCCATCTGGGGAGGCGCTAACTTGTCGACGAGCAGATTCGACGCGCATTTGACGAGTTTGCACATGAAGCCGTGGCTCCGTCAAATCAAAAACCTGACATGGCCAAGGTGGAGCTGGATTTCCAGACCGCTTGCCTCGTGCTGTGGACCACGCTGCCTGGCATTGTGCTGGACGCCCACCAGCACAAACGTCGCCAGCCAACCGATACGTTACCCGTGGACGATCTTGTCCATCGCCTGAGTCGATGCAGCAAGGACACGTACATGCAAATCAAGCATGCGCTGGGTATGTTGGTCGAAGCAGCCGAACTTCTCGACCGAGACGCGCCATATTTACCAAGACAGTACGTGGTGTTTTCAACAACTATCATGTACAACTAGTCAAAGAGGCTGACGGCATGGCCAAGGTGGGTGATGGAACTTTACCGCCGACTAGTCGACCAAGTGTGCGCGGTCAAATCGCACGGCGAAGACACCTGCGACAAAACTTGCGATTGCCACGCCGTGCGGCGCCACCTACGCATCACCAACGTGGGGTTTGACTTGATATATCATGGCAACTTGTGGACGGTGCGGATTCGAAAATGTGCACGGTCGGGAGTTCCTGATGCTGGTGGCGTGATATAGAACACCAAGCTCAACACATTGTATCGCGCATTGATCAGCTCATGCCACGTAGATGAAGTGGCAATGGGCAACACGATGGAGCCACACGACCGCCTCGACGACCTTTTGTTCGCTTTGAGGTCGCCCCACGCCGTCTAGTCTGCAAAGAGTTTTGACGCTTGGAGCTGGGGAATGACAAATGGGCGAATGCCCTCGAAAACACGAGCCAGAAACGACGAACCACCGAGCCGAGTCTTGACCGCCACAGAATAGACATGGAGGTGTGCCGACGGCTTCCATGCTACTGCACGCGCGTCCGCCACCCCATACGTTTGATTTGGTAAACGTAGTTAATGAAATCAGGGGGACTCGGGCACTCGAATGCTTGCTCCCCGCGATGCTCCAGTGCGAATCGCTTGCGACGCATGCAGACAATGTATAGCTGTGCCTGGTGGAGCACTGCGCGGCCATAGCTTGATGTGCCTTTCCAAATGAATGTTGACGACGCGCGATTCAACAGGAGAATGATGGAACCGCGCAAAGTCTGGAAGTGTGCACCGACACGACAATCCTTGGGAGATTTCTTAGTGCTTCGTTTATGCGGGTCATCCAATACCGTCAGCCTCTTGGAGTGCTGCTCACCGTAGAGGCATTTGTGGTTCCGAAGCTCACTGCTACAAATTGCAGTGAGCATCATGTACGGCGTTACGAAGCGTTGCATTCGTTCCTTGACGAGGTATCGCGGGGGCTAAGCTGGGAGTTTCCGGATTTACCTGAGGTGTCATCATGCCGGTGTTTCGTTGAACAAGTTACTCGATCATGCTTTGTTAAAAATGTGGTTTGTAGAAAATGTGGTTGTCAACAAAGCATGCTGGAGTAACTTGTTCAACGAAACACCGGCATGATGACACCTCAGGTAAATCCGGAAACTCCCAGCTTAGCCCCCGCGATACCTCGTCAAGGAACGAATGCAACGCTTCGTAATGCCGTACTAGTACATGTCCGTGAACCTCTTGCCACATGGGTCGCCAAAACTCAATTCTCCCACCCACGCGAAACCCATCGACGTGGCCATGCCCAACGGTCCGACCAGGATCTGCCGAGGTGCGGGTGTATCCACCAAGCATGACCTCTGGCATGGACAAGTTTGGTGACAAGAAGGGTCGTTTCTCGATTAGGTGTCCTCTTCGTATTGACATGGCGTCGGAAGGTCTTGTCCGCAATAGTCGTCAATGGGTTTATAAACAAAGTGCATTTGTGCGAAATGTAAACCGAAAGAGACAAACCCATCGCCTGCGCATGGCGAGGCAGTCCCTTCGTTGCGTCCAGGCTCGACACATGCAGTATCATTAAGGTTGTCGAAAGGGATGTCCACCTATTTCTTGGCTTCCTGCAGCATGTCCATGACAGTTCTTGCTGTCGGCAAGACGCTGTCAGTCGGCATAAAGTAGACTCGGTTGTCGCCTTGGGCAATATGGCCCAAGTTTTTTACTGTGAGGAGGTCGACCATGTACTTGGCGGCGAGCGACGAATCCCCCAGGGCCGCCGTCATTTCGACAAGCTGTTGCTTGTACGCTTCGGTCATGGCTTGGATCGCGTACTTTTCGGCGTCGGCGCGGTTTTCGGCTGCGATCCGCTCGCCTTCAGATTGGAGCACGGCCGCTCTCTTCTCGCCCTCGGCACTTCGGATTTTCGCCAGTACGTTTTGCTCATTTTCTCGACGCTCTCGTTCCGCTGTCAGCTGTTTTTCCAAATGCTTGGCCACCGAGGCATTTTGAGGACCAAATTCTTGGATTTCAAACCGCGTGCAGTTCACACCCCACGTGCGGATGCCGTCGCCGATGTCGTGGATCAAACTTGCGTTGAGCTTAATTCGATCGGCAATTATGTCGTCGTACGCAAACCGACCGATGCCAGCTCGGATCGTAGATTGACCGATCGCATGGATGGCAGCCTTGACATTCTCCACTGAATAGCAAGCTTTTTCCGCGTCAAACACACGGTAAAATAGCGTGCCACTGGCCATCACCGGGACGTTGTCGCTAGTGTACGCATGAAGAGACGCAATGTTCAGGCCGCATTCCCGCATGTTAATGACGCGCGTTTCATGCAGGATGGGCAAGTTGAGCCGCAACCCTGGCTCGAGTCGGGTCGGGTTGCCCCCCAGGAACTCACGGTACGCCACGGTGGCTTGATCCACCACAATGATAAAGTTGCGGCGCCCGATAGCTCTTGCGGGCTTGATGAAAGTGGTTGCAACAAGTCGATACATGGTGGTCGTGGAGGCGAGGTGTGAATTGAATCATGAGGTGGTGGCCTCTAGGAAGTCTAAGGTACTCGAGTAGTAGTATCCAAGCGACCGAACGACACGCGTGCACGCGTGTCGTTTGGTCGCTTGGATACTTGTGTAAAAATTTGATTGGTTGTAGGTCAAACAGTATGGATTTGATTGGTTGGAATATTTCGACGGTGTCGACGTTGAATTGGAATGCAGGTTTTTCGACCTTCATTCCTGGACAGACCGATATCATAGTTTTGATTGGTTGTGTGATGTGTGTCGTAAATTTGATTGGTTGAATATGTCCGCCGTGAGTACATAGATTGGAATGCATGTGCACAACCTTCATTCCGCATTCACGATCGCCCGGAATCGGACCGACGAGGACCGTTCGGGTTACAAGTCCGACGCTCTCACTCCTTGCTAATTGCGACACATTGTGCAATGTGATCAATTGGCCGAGCGGTCTAAGGCGCCAGTTTAAGGCACTGGTCTGAAAGGGCGTGGGTTCGAATCCCACATTGGTCACTTTATTGCCCACTCGTTGCACAAAACAACGGCTGCGTTTGTTAACGGCTCGACAACGTTCGTGCAAGATGTTTATCCCGCATCATATCTTCGACACAGGTGGGGGAAACGTGACCTCTCCGCCGACACCTTTCTTGCGTCGATAGTGAAGTGTCACGCAAAAGGACAAAGCCACCCGCCTCCCAAAGTCAAGACGGTTGTGGCCTACATAGACAAGCACTTCGTCGTTCCGTTTGATTTTGAAGTTGCCAAGCAGGTGTGGACATGAGGTGAAATCCGATGTGCCCTAAACGATACTAGTATGGGCCTCACAGTGGCCTCGACTACGAAGATCGACTGATTCGATCGTATTTGCTACATCAGCTCGTTCCCCGCGTCAACGAACCTCCCCCAATCTGTACGACGTGCACAAGCATAGGACATTCGTACAAGACGTGCCCCCAAGGGCTGTGGTGAAAACCTGCTGTCGTTGGAACTGACGTATGAGGCGAATGTTCGCAAGCATGCCATCTCAACCTCGTTTCCACCGATTATTCACTTCGACAGATTTGGTGCACTATACTTGGAAGTTTGCAGGTAATGGAGGGTCTACATGCAGGATATACACACATGATGCTTCCCCATCGCCGCATTTCTCATTCCCTTTTGAACCAGCACAGGCACCTGCACTGCGGGAGGCAGTTGGAGCTTACGATTACCCTCATCGACAACGCGCACATTGACTCCCGAACGCGGCCCTTTGAATTTAGGTCCGTCGGCACCGTCGCAAACTTGTCTTTGCCTTCTGTCATTGTCAAGCTCGCGTCGCACCCCCTCCTTTCATGCGTACATGCTGCTTCTCCTGCCGCCACCCCCTTGCGTTGTCGACTTCGTTGTGGCTTTCTGTGACAACTGCATTGTTGTACGATCCACTCGTCAGTGGACTCGAACCAAGTTCACAACTCCACGACCATGCCATTGCCTTGCACGAGCCCCTCGTCGCCCGGGTTGAACGCGAGCTCCACTCCGACTACACGCCAGGCTACATAAAAGGCAACGTGTACAGAACACGGGCAATACCACGCGTTAGCTCAAGCATTCGGCGGCAGCTCGAGTGTTACTTCGACACCGTGTGAAGTCGAGGGTGCGTCCAGCGCCTACCGAGGTGCAGCACCGTCGAAGCGGACGTGGCCTACGCCGGGATTAATCTGTCATCGACGCGGCGTCGCCGAGACCGCCGGGTCACGCCCGATTGCCGCATGTTCACGTGGTCGAGCTGCACAGGTCGTAGTTCCTCAAGACCTACAAGAGCCACCAAATTCAATGTCCGGCGCTGTATCAGAGTTCATCATGTCCAGCAGTGATATTGAAGGGTAATCCCACACAATTAACCAAACTCAGACCAAGTTGCTACCATGAAACGTGTTGTAGCGAGACGAACGATCTCGACTTCTTGCGCGGAGTTGGCGAGTCTGGACAAAAGCGGCTCAACGGCTGTGCTGTCCCCGAGGCATCACAGTCCAGTGTGCATGGTCGTTGCATCTAGCTATGCGATGAAAATTTGTGTTTGTACACGCGTGCGTTGTTGAACAAACAGTGTCGAGCCCACCGACCCACTGCGTAGAGTATGCGTCCGAAGCATGAAAGCATATTGTGGCGCCACCGTCCCCAGCGAGTCTCGAAACAGTTCGTAAGCCATGACTTCTTCGCATTGCTGCCTGCGTCGCCCCGCAGGTCAGTGGCGATATGTGGCTGCATGCCGGAGAAGGCCCACACCTCTCGGTGAATCTCAACTTAACCTTCTGATTGGTGGATGTTTCGGTTATCCGGAATACGTGATCATCCTGAAAATTGCCATGCCGTCGCCGGTGCCGCCGCCGTTGGACGCGCCAATGCGAGGCGACCACGATCCGTTCCTGCAAGAAGACTTTCGTGAGTTTCCATTTCAAAGCCAGCGTATGCTCGTGGAGCTCCAGACAAGTACGTTTCGAGACACGTCGGCCGTCGAATTCTGGGAAAGATTGACACAAGGCCACGACACGGTGGAGAACGCGATGCATTTGCCTGCTGCTCTTGCGTATGCCGTGGAAACGATTCAGCAGTTGGAAGAGATTGCAACGTACATGACATGTACACAGCAGCAGCAGCAGAACCAGCCGTCCCGATCGATTCTGTCGCTCTTGAAAGCTCACTTCCGAGCGATTCTCTTCCACGATGCGAGTCAAACCCAGGTGTTTGTGCGCGCGCGTCCCCACCCCCGATATCGTCTCATTGCCATCTAGGTCTTTTGTGACGCCCTTGAAACGCTATGCACGTCGTTATTCCTCGATCCGTCTGCGTGTGCATGTTCTCTCGACGCGACCACGTTGCGCCACCAGTTGCAGTACCTCGAATGGATGCACATTGCAAAAGGGTCGATTTTGAACGTGTTCCTCCGACAGGTGCCCCCTGCCCTCCTACCACCGTCCATTTTTCGACTGGGGTGGTTAGATCGATGGTCGTGTCGCGTCATGGTGCCGCAACAATTTCACCGAGAGCTTTTTCCACGACCTCGAGTCCTGGGTCGACTCGAGTTTACTCCAGGACGCGCACACCATGTTCGCCAGGGGGTCCCACCCGATTGAGTACGTCGAAACGCTAAAGCTGCACACGTTTCAAGCGTTTGGGAGTCTGCGCATCCACGAGTTGTTTGACATCGTCCGCGATTACCCTGACAGGTGCGCACTCGCTCGTCGAATTCTTTCTGGCAGGGAAATCCTCTCATGGCAGCGGTAGCCTCCCGGCGATCGAAGACTTACGAAAGTGCTTGGAAGTGACTCGTCAACAACCAGAGCTCCTGGCAACCTTCCAAAACGCCATCAAAACCCGCGTGCTTCAGCCCGGCGCAAGCACCACCAGCATCATTGGCGTGTACACGCGTGCGATCAAGGTGCCCTTGAAAGCTCCCATCGCCTTCAACAAGTCGCCGTTCCAACCGACGTGGGGCTGCTTGTCGTAGACATTTCGCCACTTGGACGGTCGCGGCGGGCTCATTCAACCCATTGGGGACCTCTTTAGCCAGGTAAGGAGTCGCGTCCATGTCCCATATTCGAGTGGATGCGAACTAGCTTGGCTCCTAGTACCTTCGTAAACGAAAGGACACGATTCGGTGCATCGTCACGAGCTTGACCGACCGAGACAGTGGCGAGTTGTATGAAGAACTCGAGCGCGACCGGCGAGTGGAGCCTGTGATCGACAGCGACGACGACGACGTTTGTGTGAGTGCATGATCATGTGTGATGGGACTTTCAAATGCGTATCGATGGGCAGGATGCGGAGCTGTGGCAGCCAGAGCCTGCCGACACGATCGCCGTGCCCAGAGGGCGTCAGGTCGACGACCTCCTTAGCAGTCTCGTCAGTATTTATGCCAACCAGACTGTGTTTGTGAATGAGTACCGCATGATGCTGGCCGAACGACTACTCAGTGCAAAAGACTTCCACACGGATCGCGATGTACGTTCGGCGACCGAGGCGTTTTCGCTTTCCGCGACATGTAGGTGCATACACTGGAACTGCTCAAGCTCCGGTTTGGTGACGCACGGCTTCAGCAATGTGATATCATGATCAAAGACGTTGACGAAAGCAAACGCATCCAGGCCAACTTGGGGCTTGCCGTCGATGCGACCGTCGTGTCGGAGCACTTTTGGCCTCCATTTCAAGTACGTTGCAGCGTGGTTCGAGTAGTCGGAGCCTCTCAACCGATCGCAGGGAGACGATTTCACCCTCCACCCTCGCCTGAACGACATGATTCGACAGTACAAAGAAGCGTACGCGGTGCTCAAAAACCCGAGGCAGTTGGACTGGGTGCCGTACCTCGGTTTTGTAGAGGTATGCCTGTCCAAATGCACATGTGGTGCGCTACACTAACGCATCGATCTCACAGCTCGAGATTGAATTGAATGGGAACGTGGCTGCGTTTACAGTGTCACCCATCCAAGCCACGTTGATATCGTACTTTGAAGATGAAGGCATGTGTTTTTGATGCTCGAGTTGTGGTGTCTCATTCGTTTTGCCACATGCAGATTCGTGGTTGGCAGCGGCACTCGCGGAAGCCATGGATATTGAGATGGACGTCCTTTCGAAACATGCGCACTATTGGTGCCTCCAAGGTGTCCTCGTCCAGGAGAACGAGCATTTGACCCTGAATCATGCGTACTCGCCGTCCGAGGCGGTCGAGTCGTCCCAGCCTGGAAGCGACACCTTTTTGGAGCCGTCCGTGTCTTCCAAACGCCAAGCCGACGCTGACATCAAGGTGCGGGCAATAATCCGTCCTGCCAGCTCCAGCTGACTCTGTCCTCCGTTGCTAGACGCTCGAGTCGTACATCAAGGGCATGTTGCGACAATTCGAGACCTTGTCCCTCCAGCAGATCGCCAGCAAGCTCGCCTTGATCGCTCGCAGCGAGCAGAACTCGGGTAATGTCATGCCAGACTCGACGACATCTGATGTGGTGGCATCGAAGGAGGCTGCACGACGACCAACTTGACCCAAATCCTGCGCAACTTGGTGGACCAGCAAGAGTTGGAGTACATTGGGGGCATGTACCAGCTCCACAAGTACCATTAAGTTAACTCGGCGACGATGCAAACATGGATTTGAAAAAATGGATGTGGCGTCGTCGTGTATCACGGGGACGACATGCTGCGCTTCGTAGTCGACCAAGCACGTCAACGATGTGGCGGACCAGCGCTCTATCGCCATAACCTCGTCAAACGAGATACCGGTTGCTGCGCATGTTGTGTTCGCAGGTTGTGCGAGGCCACATCGACGACAAACGTCGTCGCGGCAATCTTGTCCAAGATCAAACTAGCAGTCGTATTCCTTGCTAGGCAAGGAGTAAAGAGTGTCGATCGAATGGCGGTGTGTTGGGTTGTCGTGTTGTGGTGGAAGAGCACAGAGTCAAACTGATGTGCTGGAAGAGTTTGTACAGCGTCTTCAGTGTTCGAACGACATGGAAGCGTGATGATCTGTCTGCCGGTAGTTGGGTTGTGTAGTCGGGCACTGTTTCGTAGCTGCTGGAGTTGTGTGCACTTTGAGACGACTGGAGTGTGGCGTTGCGACACTGAATTGGCAAACTTGTTTGTGTGGCTGCGAAGGCAGGACATATCCCGTCCATCCATCCAATTTGTGCAACAAGGGAGTTGTTTCGGTGGTTTTGACGCTCTGTTCCATGCAATGTAGTGGCGACCAGCCTGGCCGTGTGGTACAGAGAAGTTTGCCGTCCACTTGCGGCGCTGTCGCAAGCATGCCAAGCGTGTCCTTGATGCGTGCTCTTTGACACGATCTGACACATAGTCGTTGTGCCCTGTTGTATGACAAGCAAGGTCAAGCACTGGGTGTAATTTGGTGGATGTGTGGTGAGCGACGCCGGCCTTGACTCCGACTACGCGAGATACCTGGATTGTCCAACGCTCCAACAAGTTGATGGTGACCACCACATCAGCCCAACGTACACAAGGCAGCGCTGGCTGAATGACCAGCTTGTCGTTGACGATAGCCTCGTCAAGGACAAGGCCAAACTACCCGTCGTGCTTGAACTGGTGGAAAGCAGCACTGTGAAGCGACGGCAGTTCCTGTTGGTTGCCGACGGAACAAGCATTGAAATGCCTCGCCCAGTACTTCACACCAAGTTTGTCGTTGTGGATTGCAGGGCAGAGGGAATGAAATCCTGTGGCTTTGGTCCAAGACATCTTGTTAAGGTGTCGCCGTGCCTCCAAGACAAGGACGATGGTACATTACGACACATGCTGTGACCGACTCTTGTCGATGGTGTGGGAAGGCTTGCGCCGGACGCGCCGGGACATGACTACGTAGTCAGGATCCCCACCGCAGCTGCAATTTCGGACGACATGCGACATGCACTCGTCGACAAGTGCCGAAGACAACGTCGGGTGCTCTGTCAAGATGCACACCGTCGATTCCTGGGCTGTATTGGCGTTGCCGCCAGCAACGGACGCGCCAACTACCAACTTGAGCCACTGGACAAATGGCCCCACGTACTCGCGCTTGACACTCTGACTTCCATCGACCTGTTAAACGAAACGCTTGGTGTAACTTGAGGACGATGCAACCGCTTGGTGCTAAAACAGCCACATGACGGATGCCCCCGACTGGATCCACGAGTTCTTCTTACCCGACCATGAACGTACATTCGAAACGCGTCTTCGCCAAGCACTCCAACACCTTCGGCCATCGCAAATGGACCACTTTCGAAACGTGGTCATGCATCAATCCCCTGACTTGAGACTGTCGACGTGGAAAGCCCTGGTCCAGCACTCGAACACTGCCCCCGTCAACTACGTACACGACGTGCTTCGTGTGAGTGCGTACTTGCTCAAGACATTCACCGATGAGTCTAGCACAGGATATCAAACTCTGACGGACTTGTACGCGAGCTTTGGTACTCCTGGGGACCGTGGAGCGTTCGAAGCACTGCTCGTGTCGACGCACCACCTGCCAACGTTGGCCCGACTTCTCCACACCATCGACATGGCCAAACAATACGTCATCTTGGACGTAGCTGCCGACCATCCACGTGCTTTTGAGTCGCTGTTGGCATGGTGCCACAACACGGCCACCGCCCCATCTCCACATAACTTGCACTCGACATTGGCAATGGTAGCCAAGACCAACAACTTTCATCTCTGGATGGATCTCATTGTGAACGTACAGCCATCATTACTCCTCACGCCGTTCCTTGCCCTGTTGGATGCTTTCTCGACCACCGGGTTGCTCGACCACGTTGCTCGTGTCTTTTTGGGCCACTCCAAACCGTACGACCTCATCGAGCCTCTTGTTGCCCTGGTCAGTCAAGGAGAGTCAATGGTCCAGTCCTTGCTTCCCCACGTGTCCACTGAATCGGCAATCACTTTGATTTCGTCCCTCCATCCTTTGCTGCCGTCCCTCGCAGCCTTGGCCACCCATTCGTTGCACCCCCCCGAAAAACTCGACGCCACTATCGCAACATTTAGTCGAGTTGAAGTGTCGCTGGCAGATGCAAACCACGTCCTGCTATTTGCATCGACCTTGCCGGATCCGTGGCCGTTTATTGAGTTTGTACAGGCACTAGCAACCGCGGCCCCCCACACGTTGCCACGACTCTATCACGTGTTTGGCGCATGCAACTCAAGCGACCAGCTTCATTTGGTTCGTTTTCTCTTGCTGGAATGCACAACCGTCGAGTTTGGCGCTGCGCTGTTGAATCTTCCGTTGGAGGACATGAGATGTCTCCTTGCCATCACGTCGATGTTTCTTTCCAGCGAGCTCGAGCGGATCGCCGCGTTCGTCACGACTCTTGACCAAGTGTGCCTGGCGCCACTACTCACGCTGCTTGCCCTACCCGACCACCAGCGACTCCATCTGTACACGATTCTGCAAGGAGTTGACACTCCCCATCGCCTCTTAGAGGCCCTTCAGCACCTTTGCGTGGACAACCCCCCTGCATTCGACCGATTATTGCACGTTCTTTTGCTGTTCGAGTTGGATCAAAAGGATGCGCTGGCGATGGGCGTTTTACGTGCTTCGGACAAGGTGATCAACGGTCGACTTCTCGAGTTCCTTGCATGGCCTCCCGGCGAAATGGACGCGAGGGAAGTACTGCGGCTTCTCCGTCATGTACCATCCACGCGCTACGAGTCGCTACTGGCGATGTTTCAATCCCCCCTTCGATCCAAGCTGGAGCTGCTTGTCTTGTCAGAGCTCCTCGAATCCATGGCATCACCTTTGTCGATGGAATGCCTTCTCGAGGCGTTGATTCGCATGGATGAGCCGACGCTGCAAGCGTTTTTTAGTTATATGGAGCATGTTCCAGGCTCGTTGGTCGTGGTGAACCTCATTGAAACCTTCTCAAGTGCAGACGTGCAGCTGTATTTGAACCTTGCTACGGGCCTCTCTCCATCGATGATGCGGGAGCTCAACTTGTTCATGGACAACCTCGACCTGCGTGGTCGCACCGCCTTTCTTCGCGTGATTGTAAACCCCCGTCGGAACATCCTGTCCCGGTACGACTTGTCTGCGCGCAAAAGCACGGCTCACGCGCGCTCGTAGGCTCATCATGAGTGTCCACATGCTCGACCACATCACGGTCGGCAACATTTTGCGAGCCCTGGAGCATCATACGTGGGAGATTCGGTCTCTCTTGGTTGAGCAATTTCGCATCTTGGATGACCCTATAGCGTTGGCGCAGCTCGCGGCGGTCCACGAATCTCTAGGCACCGACTTGAGTACTCGAGACGCGCTGGAGACATACGCTATGATCGCAAGCTACTGCTCCAAGGCCGTCCAAGTCCAACTCGCGTCAGTTTTGTATCGGTTCGCCGTGGCGGACCGAGGCGAGTTACTGATGCTTGTTCGGAATAATGCAGTGTGGCATCCGACCGAAGCGATCGACGCCGGGTCCGTTGTCAGCAACGACGCCGCGCTTGGAGATCGACATAACGCGCTGGTGTAGGTTTTGGACAGAAGAGAATATCGCGAGGCTGTGTGCAATATTCTTGCAGCACCATTCGCAGATGGCGACCCACCTCCTCCAGTTCCTTCGGCGACTCGATCCCAAGTTCCACGAAGCTTTTCTTCACTCGTGCAAAGACTTGTCCGCCGACATGGCGTACTTTGTTCGAGTGTTCCATGCCACGACCGTGGACACTGTCCATCGGTTCAGCGCCATCCTGTTTTCTCGTGCTTTGAACACCGATGGCATCACCCGTCTCGCCCAGTGTCTCCGAAGAATGCACCAAGCGTTGATCGGACTCGATCTTGCCGTCCACGTGCTCGTGCAGTTGTCAAACATGCCGTCGTTTTTGTCATACTTTCACCGCCTCGGGACGGCGCAAGGCTTGTTCGTTCAGATTTTGGCTGAGTTTCCCACGCATGCACGTGAAGTCGTGCAGTTCCTCGAGTCTCTGGATGTGGACGACGCCGTCTTGATCATGCGCCGGTTGTCCAAGATGCCAAACGACAACCGCCGTCGGTTTGAAGCACTTCTAAACAAACCACCGTACGAAACGCAACCCGTTGATCCATCTCAAGACCATGAGCTATGGCATAGGACTCGACTTACTGGCGTCGACAGGACGCTCTATCTTAGTGTAGTGGACGGCTGCAAACTGCGACCCATCGACACACGTCCACCCGAGCTGTCCAGAATCGTCACAAGTCGCTCTCTGCCCGAATTGAATCCTCCACTGTGGAGCTGTGAGGACGTCGAGATGAAACTCCTCTCGCGGAAGGCCAAACGAGTGGGACAGGTCCCGTCGATGGCATCGTCAGCTCAAACGGAACGAACGTCACCTTCTGCAACCCAAGGCGAAAGCGAATATTACACGATCTCGATGGAACCGAATCGGGAGTTTACCTTGTTCCTGGCGTCACCCCTCGACGACAATGTGACGTCGCCCCCAACTGGTGCGATTGAAACCACAGCTCTGGTCGACAATCAACGGAGCAAACCGGACTGTTTGACCCCCCCAGAAGTTCCCCCACCTGCCCCTGATCCCATCGACGGTGTTGACAGCGACAACGAGTACAGCAGCGACGACTGCAGCGACCCCGACGTGCCCCCCCGACGATTGTTTGATCATGTCCTGGCAGACAGTATTCTAAAACAGCATCCACTCAACACGTTGGTCGAAGAAGATTTGGACGTAGATGGCCTCCCTCGTATCCGCATTCCTGGGCGATACAAGCGTCCCTCTGCACGGTCCATGCGCGGGCTCATGCCGGCCATTCAAAACGCCTCCCTCCACCCAGGAAAACGTAGGCCGAGCACGTCCCCAGGATCCCCTTTTGAAATGATCGGGCAAGACGCCAACCTGATGCGGTGGCCCCCCACCCGGATTCGAGTGGCTCGGACACCTGAAGCCAAGAAAAAGGTGTTTGATGCGAGGGTGCATAAGAGCATGGGCACCATCATGTTACCGTCGTTGAAGTCCCAGCAAGACACCCACAAGATGCTTCGGACAAAGTCATGCGTCGGGTTGTGAGTAGATGCCACCAATCCAACGATGCATGGGCAGCTTCGGCCAACATATTCAAGGGGTACCAGTTACAGTCTCTGCACAGTTATCATTGCTGCTGCATTCGATGGAACCACAACCACGTTTACGAGTCACCGTGCGAGGGGAGTAGAGGATTTCTCTTCAACGTTAAGGATGGCCGTGTGCCGGCCTGGCCAAGTGAACAGTGGTGGCTTTATCCACTTTAAAGGATGTCTACAGTTGCGCTGAATAGTGTGGGGAGTCGGCGTCGTCCCTGTCTGTGAATGGGGGGAAGAAAGCATGGGCTCATGGCTTTTCAGGTTCTTGTTGTTTGAAATGCTCGGTGGTACATTGCTCCCACTGGTCGGTCATCAAGACCAGCGAAATGTTGAGAGTTGGCTACCGTTGTGAGATGCACGCAGTGGGCACTACGCACGCTTTTCTCGATTGAAATGAGGTGGATGACTGAACCGGTCCATACAACGTCCTCGTCTCCCTTGTGCGCGTTGGCCATGCAGAGGTCGAATGATCAAGCACCAGGAAAGTCTCTTGTACAAAACCCAGAAAAAGCCCGACCAGTTGCATCCCATTGTGCATGGAGCATGGAGGCAGAAGAGACAAAAAATGTTGAAATATGACTACGTCCAACTTGATTGGCTATAAT